GTGGCATCCCAGGGGTGAGGGCGCGATGGCGGGATGCGTCCTCAGTGCTGTACTGGGTGCGTATCATCTTCATGCTGCGAAATAAGACTGATGGTATTGTAGGGATGCTGACTGTGATATGGTATGCGCTCGGTGGACGCATCACGGAGGAGGAGGAGGAGTACGAGGTGCGCACGGCACTTGCGGCGAAGGAGAAGCGCGGACGGTTCTTTGGCTTGCTCCCAAAACGGAATTAGGTGGAGGCTGGTGAAAAAAAGGATCGATGCATATGTACGCAGTGACACACCATGATGACTTTGGATTTATAGCATTCCGATTCTCTTTCCGTCGCGCTTGGGTGGCAGCATCGAAAGAATGTCGGTGGAGGAGAAGGGCAGCATTTGGTTCAGTGTAAGCAATGCTGCTTGTTGCGTCGGCCGTCTTTTAGGTCGGACGGTCCTGCTGGGACGAGTCCAGGAGTTTATCGCGCTAAGAGTCCGAGCGTGCGCGGCGTAACATGAATTGAGAGCTGGGAACACCAGGGATGGGCGGCAGGGAATCTGGAGGAATGCGGGTTGGACTCATGGGAGGACGTTGTCATCTGAATCAAGCGGACTGTGTGTTGTCACGGATCACGAGATGTGACACAGCGCGCTGCGTTGAAAGTGCCCTTAGAACGCGTGCTTTTGAATTTTAAATTTTCTGCAGTCTCAGCCCAAGGGAGAGCTGAGCATTTTTACAGAAGCTCTTTTTTCTTCTCAAAGGCGACGGACTTCAAAGCCGGGGGGAGAACAGGAGCGCTGTCCACCGATCGGGAAAGAAATCCAGAAAAATATAATTATAAAAAGGCTACGTTACTCCAACAAACACGCCGATTGGATCTTTCGGTGATCAAGAGAGATTTGCTGTACGCGGACGTCCAAGTCTCACTGGCGTCGGTCTCAATAACATCCTTTGTTAAATACATGTCAGACATCGAGAAGGGAAAACAACAATATTCAACCCACCCCATGGCACATAATGACGCGATCCGGTGCCCGTCCGAGCACAGTCTTGGCGTCGCGCGTCATGGCCCTACATATCCTCTCAGCCTGGAAGGAAAAGTAAGAGGGGGGGGGGGGAGAAGCTGCTTACGCCTTGTCCTTTCCATGGCCACACAAAGTGTTTGCGCACAGAGCCCCAGAGATTCAGCGACCCGGGAATTGGAACCTTGGAGCTGGACTTCGATTTGGAATACTATGGAATGGAAGGGAATGAGGATGTTTTCACTCGCGCGCAAGTCGGAATAAAGAACGGACCTGCTCCGTCTCGGGAGATTGAAAAGTAGATCTGCGACAATCAACGTTTCGAAGAAGATGTGGAACCAGGCGACGTCCTTATTGCCGAAGCCGAGGAAATAGCTGCCACTTATCAGCACTTGAATCACTGAGAGGTCGATAGGGACGCACCAAGCGGAGATCTAGATTCAACCGTGTGAGTGGTGGAATAATTGTGTGTAAAGTACATGCTTCATCTTCGAAACCATATTCGGTGCCGGGAGCGTCAGCGCCATATGCTGGGTTGCACATGAGCGAGCGGGGATTGAAAAGCGCGAAGAGAAAACTCACACCTGTCCAAATTCCAACCTTCCGCCTTCTTTTTCGCAAAAAGAGCTTTCACGCCGATCACTTTTGTGTTGGGATATACCTTCTTGAATGGGCTAGTCTAAATACATCGATCAGCAAGTGACTCCCCCAGGCTTCTCCCGCGAGCTGCTCAAGGGTGCACCGCACCGGCACCCATCAAGGAAAGTGTTAGTTGGAATCAAAACAGGTTTAATTCAGAACACGCTTCATTGGTCTCAATTTGTCTATCGCACTCTTCGTATCCAGCGTAAGTGGGTCGACGCGAGGACCCAGACGTCGCCGGCGGAGAGGCGCACTATTGTGGAACGACCACCGAAGGGAAAATATGGAACCGTGCAAATGGCCTTCGGTCCCGTTTCAGTATCCTCAATGAAAGAAGTATGACGAGAGTGCGGACTTAGAAAATGTCGTCATTCTTGAGTGTCACCTAGCGCGGAGGCAATTAATTTTACTGAATGGAAGTTATGGGGGTGCCTACTTCGCGGATCACAGCTCTGGATGTTCTCAGTCGCCATTAGTCGAGGACCCGAGGTGGAAAAGGAAACTTGGATGTAATTGTAAAAACGCCAGTAGATGAGAATGTTGAGTTCCGTTTTATAACGGTTCGATGTCGGTCCCACTTCGCGACCCTTGCGTATGTCGTGACTCGATCACTAAAAGATAAAGCCACAAAGGAGGCGGCTCGTCACCGAGGCTCCATCCGACGCCGATGGTAATACAACCGAGACTCGCCAGGTACGGGCTGTTTGATAGAGCGCCTGAAGAGATTACTTGGGACGACTCGCGTTGAATCGTCGTTGATGTCCGAACCGCGGACTCATGACTGAGCGAGCTGTCTACCAGGTGATCGCTTGTGGGTGTTGTGTAATTCAGCAATTCAAAGTTCGTTCCTTCGTAGCACAACCTGAGTATGTTCCAAAGCAAATCCCGAGGGGTATTCAGTTATTCGCCCAGTTATGAACTGGCTCCAATTTGTCCCGCCGCGAAAGTTGAACCGAGGTCGAAGAGGGTTGGAATCCTACATCAGTGAGTATGCGGGCACCTTATCTTCTACGTACCTGAGGCTCTAATATTGGATCCCAAAGTTCTCTGGTACCTTAAACTTTGGGGCTTTTCCTCAAGCGGCATTGGAACAGATCTACCAAACTCTCGGGAGATCCTAGGTGCCTCTTCCATCGTTCAACTGGGTTCGGGCATCTCGGCCTACCCACTCCGGACCAGTAAAGCAAAATACATGTCGATAAAAATTACATCCTTGGCAACTAGTCGTCATTTTTGACGACCGATTTGAGAAGATCGACTGCAAACTTGGCAGAACCCCAGGAGGACTGGTATCCGGCACCACCATGCCTTTCGAAACGTGAGATATCGATTGGCGATTGCAGAGACTTTGCTTACCCATAGTTATGCACAATTGGATAACTCTTGTTGGCCACGGCTTGAGTACACAGATATGAGGAGAGATTGGATCGGAAGCTATGGAAGCTTACTTAAGGAGGAGACTTCTAGTCGGACACCACCCTTTCTCGTCGGACGGAGACCGACGCATTCCTCTATAACCTCGAGGTCGTTGATATCGCGATTTTCGCGCCTGCCTGGAGGTAGGAGCTCCGGATAGGCATGTATTCCGCGCTCTTTGATCAATTTAACTGTTTCTGCTCGGGAAGTAGGATACCTGAGGGTGAACTGTGCATCAGACATTTTTGTTGGCGACAGAAACTCACCAGTCGTCAGGTTGGAATGTTCCCCCAAGAATTACGCGCCCGTCACTCTGACGAGGGATAACATATGTTATATGTCCGTCCTCCCAATGATGGGTCAATCCATGGTTAATCCAGGGGGCGTGTAAGATCAGAATTTCGCCTCGAGTGGGGTAGAGATTGGTATCTACAAGCGATTAAAATATAGAGATGTCTCGTTGACGAAAGGGGTTACCAAGAACGTCTCCCAGGGAGACTGCACCGAGCCCGGTGCAGTTGATCACGGCGGCAGGATCAAAGGATGGAGACACATTCGTTGAGGTGGCTGGAAATGCTGCCAGAGATGGACGGTCCTTCTCGGTGACAAGGGCCGACACCGAGGGAAGCTTCACTCTGAATGCGCGTCCGCCGGAAGATAGAAAGCGGTCCATGAGGTAGAGAAGATATTTGGGCACATCGATGAATATCTGCTTCGAGTTTAATTCCATTGTCCACTTGTATGAGCAAAGACTCACTGTAGAAAATGTTCCGCCGCACACAACGCCCTCTGGGAGCTCACTCGAATCCAGGGCGCGGAAATCTGAATAGCAATGCGCGACATGGTCGCTTTGTTGCTGATATGCGGGTCCAGACTGGTGTTAAAAGAAAGAAACTTCAGAATGGCCCAGATTTTAACTACACTCACGACTTCTGCGTGTTCCTTGTGAAGTCTAATCATAACAGGAACAAGGGGTTGGTCCTTTATAAGCTTTAAGAAAATCGACAGAGTATCCGCTTCCAATCCTGTCCACGAGTGAGCGAACAGTGTTAGAACTTAGTCTTGCCATTTGAAGTGAGAACGAACGGTGCAGGAGCGCGTTGGTCGTTGCAACGCTGATATGATTGGCCCCTGCCCAGAAAGAGGCGCAGCTGATGCTTTTTGGATCAGTGGGGAACGTCTCTGCGAATATCGTGACGTTGAAACCCGCTTCCAAAGCCCCGAATTGCAGTGGACAATCCAACGACCCCTATTAAATGCGATGGAAATATTTGCAGCGCATTGAAGACGCAGAAACTCACCTGCCCCGATCACGAATACGTCGAGATTCTCGTGCATCTGGTGCAAGTCTGTGTGTTGAGAGGATAAGAGGCTCAGACTGGCTCACGATGGCAAGAGGTTTGATCCGCTCTCGGACTCGGGCCGTTCCCTCCCGTTCGATGCCGGCCCGCCGTGCCGCCATCAACCACTTTGCAACTCATGATCACCCGCGCCCACGTCCTCCCACTCACCGATACTTCGTCGGCGGCAAATCGTCGCCATGAGCCGCGCGCTACGGGGGACTACATACAGTGCTGCATAGTGGCCCTTAGCTACATGTATTCCACAAAGCGCTTGCTACTTGCTATTGCCGCACAGTGCCCATCGCCATAGCCTCACCTCGGTTTTCCTTATCAGCTGCTCTCAGGCTCTGTCTCGCTCTTGAATTGCTCTCAGTGAATCCCCTCTTCAACTTGAAGCTCAAGATATTCCTCCTTAGTATCTATCCACTATCGGTTCAGTAAGGGCCGTAGACTTAAGATCAAAACGCTGGCGATTCTCTCCGACCGCCGTATGCGTTTCTGTATTTCCCGCAAAAAGCTCAAGCAAAGCAAGCCTTGCATGGAAGTAATCATCTACGTGTCGGTATGTGAAGAATTATGCCACCTTCCTTTCGTCGTCTAGGTAGTATAGTGGTTAGTATGCTCGCTTGTGGTATCGATACGTTCACTGCGAACGTAAGTGCAACCGCGATTGACGTCAGTTCGATTCTGGCCCTGGACATCTTTTTGTAATCTTTTTCGACAACCATGGACTATTCAAGAGCTCTCTCGCTTGATACGCCTCACAGTTGGTCCCCGCCTCTTTAGTTGCCCGGTAAGCTCTTGGAAACCAGATTCGGATTCTTGACCCGACTCAACCAGACGAGCATCCGAAATTTGGACCTCTCATAGATCCGGGGGCGATTCAAAGGCCTCTCACTTCATACGCACTCGTCCCCGATTCTGCCGCTGCCTTGCTTCACTGTTGTTTCTCATCCTCGTTCCTACTCGGAGGCACAAAGCATACGTGTCCTTGTTTCAACCACATCCGGGTTCCTCCAAGGCTCCGAAGAGAACGGCCGTGAGTGATATTTTTACCGTTGTTCCCCGACTTGAAGGGAGGAACTTCATCGGACCTTGCAGTGAAAATCTTCTAAGGGCATTGTACGTTCCTTCTTTCCTCTTGCCGACGGACGACTCTCACCGAAGCGACTATGACAGCGATTTGGACATCCTCCTGTACGCTGCAGGCCGCCGGTTCCTTTCGCAACCTAATACGGTGCAAAATACTACTCGGCTCAGCCCTTCGTGCATACACGTACCCAAGCAGAAAGCGAGTCGCGAGGAAAGACGACGACCTGAAAGCCAAAATTGTGAAAGGGTGACTATGGTCAAGATGTCAACAGCTACTCCGGCAAAGCAACTCGATAGTAACCGTACCTGTGTCGGTATCCAACGATCCGGTCCAACCTGGCGCAGATGTCATCTTTACTCTCGAGGTCGATTCAAATGATATTCACGCGTTTAGAAAACAAGCTGAGAGGGAAGCTCCGTGATCAAGAATCCGAGCCGGAAAACACTGTGTGTATCGTCAAATTTCGTAGGCTTTACTTGGCGGAAGTCGGTACGTGGTTCCCATGTTCAAGTCTGCGTTCCCGGTGTCAAATGAACGCACACTGAAGTAACTTATCATCGTACCGTTGGTTGCCGGCTTGAGATTGCCCAGGAAGTTGTCGGAAAGCGCCTGGCTGATGTTGCTTCGGTCCAAGTTGGGGGCGGAGAAACTTATGGCTGCCCATAACATGACTCTCCAGTCGATCTTACAGACCAGAGCCTGTTCTTCGCGATAGGTCCAGCGCGCCTTAGGGTCGAACTGGTGTCGGTTTTCGTAGTCTTCCTTTGGCTGGTAGTACGGGGCTAGGGCTGGATCGTTGAACACGGAGCGGCAGGTGGCGATGGTGTCTGGATCCAGCTTAGAACCCCGACTCAAGAACGAACGAGCCCATTGCAGTGGGGGAGGCGGTTGGTAGACAAGTTCTTCAGACTCAAATTTCTCGTCGATGACTTCCTTGGAGACCGAGGAGGTCGGGGACGGGGGAGACTCGATCTTCGAAATCAGCGTCTTCAGATTTGCAAAGATGATTTTAACGGGATCAAATTCCATCATATTGCCATATTCACCTATGACTCTAGGAGTGTTCGGGCAGTCTCATTTTCGCGTACCTTATCTACCACCAACGCCATGGAGAGTCACGAAGATCACAGAGCAGATCACTGTGGCGTAATGTGCACGGTTATCGATTTATCAGTGAAGTGGGTCTAGGAACACTTCAGGTGACCTATGGCAAGGTAAGAAACGACGCCCGAGATTGAGAAGTACCTGAAATTTTTGCCTTGCATACTGTTATGTAAAAACGTTCTCAACATTACAGAAAAGCGAAAATCGCCAGTTGTCGAAACCCAGAGGCCCGGATGAGATTCCTGTCGGCGCTTTTGCCCTCAGAATCAGAATACCACAGCTGCAGTTACCCTCAGGCTCGACACACGCAGGCGAGCACGATATGAGCTCGCATGCTTCCGTCTTCATGGAGTTGTTGGGTTGACAAGCTTTTTTTTTTTTTTTTGTGGGACGTTTAGTTAGCAAGGGCGGGACGTGCTTGTCACTCGCTTCTGGTGCCTTTAGGCACCAACTTTGAGATCACCCAAGGCGACCAAGTCGCTTCCCCCCTCACCCGCCAGTTTGAGGGCTTGGACTAAAAAACCCGGCCAGAGCTTTGACAAGGTCACGGTCGGCCAGTTCGAGCAAAGTTCGAGTCTGCATTCGAATTGCAGCCCTAGGAATGCGCAAGGCTGGATGTTAGAACAATTGCGGTCTTCCCGACCTTCAAGCTCTAGATCTGAACCCTGGCAAGTTCCAATTCGATGGAAGATAAACACCATTGTGGCAAGCTCGAAGGCTGAAGCGTGACAGATTCTGGTCGGATCAGATCGTGACCCGCCGTCACGGTGTCCGAATTTCCATCTGCGCACTCATGTCCATCGCCCCGGGCCCACAGCCTGTTGGTTAGTGGGATTAATTGCCCACATAGGCCTTTTAATTTCTATTGAATAGATTTCAGTCTGTTTGGCGGTGCAGAGTCGTTGGATGAGGGTAAGAAATCGACCAGGTCACCACGCCGTACGGCGGTCTCGTATCCCACCAAACAGAACAATGCAGCGGCGCATATAGCCCCTCCGCAGGACCCTGCAGACTTCCTCTGGCTCATGACCGAGGAGCCACACCGCACACGCCGTATGGAAATTTTGAAGTCGCACCCGGAGGTAGGGAGGTCCTCCTTCCATACACAGATTGCTGAATTAGCTCGCGCTCAGGTGACAAAGTTAATGGGACACGAGCCACTCACAAAATACGTCGTGCTCGGCGTGGTCGCGCTGCAGTTATTTTGCGCCATCTCGCTGCGGCACTGGCGCCCCTCGTCGCCCATATTTTTGCTGTGCGCATATGTCATCGGCGGGACGGCAAACCATAATTTGTTTCTCGCCATTCACGAGATCACCCACAACCTTGCCTTCAAGCGGATCGTGCCCAACAAACTGCTTGCCATCTTTGCCAACCTTCCAATTGGCATACCGTACTCGGTCATGTTCAAAGGATATCATTTGGAGCACCACAAATTCCTGGGTCAAGACAACATCGACACCGACCTGCCGACGCGTCTGGAGCTCATCCTCCTCAACAACGTCCTCGGCAAGGTATTTTTCGCGTGAGTTCAGGTTGGAACTTTCTCTCTCAGACAACTTCTAAACCCTTCGCAGCACCTTCCAAATTCTCTTCTACGCCCTCCGCCCCGGCCTCGTGCGCGCCCAACGCCTCGGCCGCTGGCACCTCCTCAACTTTGCTGCTCAGCTCTCCTTCGATTACCTCCTCGTCTCCGTCTTCGGCTGGCGGCCCCTCGTCTACCTGATCGCGAGCAGCTTCTTCGCCGGCAGCCTCCACCCCTGCGCGGGCCACTTCATCGCAGAGCACTACCTCTGGGACGGTCTCGCGCAGGAGACCTACAGCTACTACGGCCCGCTGAACGTCCTTGCGTACAATGTCGGGTACCACAACGAGCACCACGACTTTCCGTCCATCCCGTGGACGCGCCTGCCCAAGCTGCGGGCGCTCGCCCCGGAAGTGTACGATACGCTGCCCGCACATCCCTCGTGGCCGATGATCATCGTCAATTTCATCCGTGATAAGGAGGTGGGCATCTTTGCGCGCGCCAAGCGGCTCTCAAAGATCGCGGGTGCGGCGGCGGCAGCGGCTGCGGCGACGGAGAAGCACGAGGATGGGTCGGACTCAGACAAAAGCGAATAGATGCTGATATGTATTATATTTACTGGAAATGTTTGTGTGGGCAGAAGCCCCAAATCTAAAATCTTACATTTTCAATTACAACAGCTGGAGTACGAGACAAAGGAAAAGATGGGCGGAAAGGTCACCGATCGGTCTCCTCGCCAATCGCCCTTTTAAGTACATCTTGCCAATCCAGTGCAAGTTTAGTTAAAGTTTTGCTGCGAGCTAAATGTTAACGTCCGGTCAGGAGGAGGAAAAATGAAAGACGGGCAAGATTGCTGACCAAACGCAGATAATACGTCCTTGAGCAGCTCGCGTTTCCCAAGGCCAGCAACAGTCGGAGACCACGTCTCTCCTGACCGTCTACAGCAATTATCAATAAGCTCGCACAGGCGTACAGGGAGAAAGAGAAACACGAACGAATACATAGGCCCCATTAAATCCCGAATCAGATCTTCCGCCTTCGCCTTATATCCCTCCTCCGCCAGCTTCTTCGTATACTGCGCCAACGCCTGCTTATACTCTGTCGGACTATCTAAAAGCCTCGCCGAATGCATCCGCGTCTCCAAATGCCCCAGCGTCATCGCCATATTCCACCATTTCGGACGTTTCTTGTCCGCGCCGCTGCTCTCTGCTCCCGCGGCCACGCTGCCCTCCGTGATGCTCAGCACACCGCGGTTCGCAGTGGGGTTGGTCGCGGAGCGCTGCCGCGCCTGCCAGACGTCCGAGCCCTCGGACCACCAGCGCTCGGTGAGCTTGACGAAGGAGAGGAGGGCAGCGTCGTACGAGTAGACGACGCCGCTGGAGCAGGTGAGGATGGCGGCGCCGCTGGGCTGGATTTTCGCTGAGGTGATCTCGTAGTTTGGCGAGGAAAGGATGGAGGAAATGGAGACGGGAGGGAAGAGGGCGGATTGTTTTTTGACGTCCCTGCAGAAAAAAAAATTGAACAAAAGGCAATTGGGGCGCAACTCCAAGTGTATACCAAGAATGTAACTGCCCGCTAGATGTTACCACCAACAGCATATTGCCACGCCCGTCAAAGAATGAAGCCGGTGCCCCTAAAGCTAAACTTGGCATTAACCTGCGTCGATGTCAGAGGTTGGTGACGGGAATGAGGACAAAGCGACTCACCGTCGACCGGTATGAGAATAAACAATGACCGAGCCATCGCGCAATCCAACTGCACAAAATCGCGAGGAGGCGCAGACCACTAATGCGGGAGATGGCAGATAATCTAGCCATTGTGTGTGTTTCCCGCTCATATACGACACCTCAGGAATATCTGCACAAAATTCATCAAAGTAAGAAAATATGTCGATGTCTAAAGGGAGGAAGAGAGCAGTACCTTCATCGCTCTCGGGATTAACCGCCTCAAACACGTCGTCGCTCCCCTCTACCTGTGT